GGTTACAAGTCTGTGTCTTCACCTTTTGTATGATTTTTAAGCTATTATTTATGTGAGGCTAGAACAACGTTTGTCAAACATTTATTTATGAAGTATTTTTTCAATTGGTTTCTGTAATGAATTACTTGACATAAGTTTTATACTTTTTCAAGGGAGAAAGAACTTGTGGAACGTGCCAATGCACTTAAAGTAAATGCAGGAACTGAACCTGGTGCAGACCTTGGTCCAGTGATTAGCAAACTGGTGCATAAATATAGTTCAGAAGATTTGTTTTTTTTTTTTTTTTTTTTGGAACTAATTTCTAATTGGAGGGGAACAAGATTGAAATGAACCTAAATTGTATATAAAAATCATGGCATGTTTTCTGTTTGTACAGGCAAAGGAACACATATACAAGTTGATCCAGTGGCATTGAAAGTGGTGCTAGACTTATTCTAGATGGAAGAAATATCATGGTATTTGCTTATATCCTAGTGTATTCCATAGCTTTATAATGTCATTACCAGATTCTACTTGATGAGCCATATTTTATGGTACTGATTTTCTGTTGTCTTGGATACTAAATCCAAGATTTTCCTGTATAAAAAATTTAAACATGTGCTTGTTTTATTGAACTAAGTGGCCAACTTACCAATAAAAAGACCATAATCCTGCTTGATCTTGTGGGTTAAGTAAAATGAAACATAATTCTGGCATTTCTTTTTTAATTTTGAATACTCAAATGCTTCCTAATTACATTTTACATGCTCATGAGCTCCTGTATCCAACTTAAGGATGAAAAAGGCATGCATTTCATGATCATCCAATACTTTATACTTGTCTTTAACTGTCATACTGTAAACTGGAGAGAAGGTTGAATCCAAATGAACCATTAGCCTTATCATAAATTATAAAATAATTTCTGTTTTTTAAAAAAGGATTTTAAATATACATACACTATATAACTTACTAGTACAACAATGTTTACCACTTGTGCCCTATAATCATAAGATGCTCTGTTGTCAAAGCCATTGGAGTCACCATGTGTATCTGTCAACACTTGCGTCCAGGCAAACCTTCGGCTTCGATACCATTTCAAGGAACTGCTCAACCTAAAAGCTTAATCTGTTAGGTGAGGTCCCTGAATAGGTTTTTATTCTCTAGCATGATGAGAAATTAACTCAAAATACCTTTAAGTAGGTTTTAAATAGCCTAAACAAGTCTTATTCCAGCAGGTCTATTAAAACCTTGAAAAAAAATTAAGAAGACATGACAAAGTACAGAACTAGGTGCAAGCCAAACTTATTTGAATCACAATAAAAAATGATTGAAATGATAATAGTAAGGGTTTTTTACAGAAGGATTCAAACTAGAACCCTTGGGGTTCACATTTTAAATAGGGAGTTGATGCTACCAAAGATTGCAGCAGGGGTGCTTTGGGTGAGGGGTAATTACCCCAGTATCAGGAGTACATTTATCAAAAAGAATTACCCCTGTATCAGGAGTTTTTTTTTTTTTAATCAATAAAGAAAGAATTCATTAAGATCAGATAAGAGTTACAGGAAATGGGTAGCCTCGGCTACCTCATTAGAAATTAAAATCAAATTACAACTTCAACTTTTCAGCCTTACAACTGAGCCCAGAAACAAAATTCCCTATTAGCCCCTTGTTTAGCCAACTCGTCTGCAAATCCATTTGCTTCTCTTGGAGTCCATTGAAATGACAGCTGCATGTGCTTGGATATTCTTTTAACCTTCTTGATTTCATTTCTGAATAACCAGGTTTTTTTTTTTTTTTTTCCATTTTGCTTCAGCCAGCCTATAACCACCTTAGAATCACCTTCTACAATTAGCCTCCTTACCCCCAACTCCATTGCTTTTTGTATCCCATAGGTCACTGCCTTCAGCTGTAGTAGAATCTCCGACTCCAATAGGGCCTGAGTACATCCCCACTACAAACCCCTTGTCATTCCTTAACACACCTCCAATTCCAGACCTTCCTGGGTTACCAAAATTATTTCCATCAAAATTTAATTTGAGAAAGCCTGAATTGGGGGGGAGGGTCCCAATCCCTTAAAACCTTCAGTTTTACAGCTGAGGAGGAAGCAACTGTTCTCCAATTCCTGATTATGTCATCCCCACTGAAAGCTGAGAAACAGTCCCAGAGATTTTACCCACGAGGTCACCATTATGTCATCCCCACTGATTATGCTCTCCAATTCTTTTCTTTTCTTCAAAAATTCTCGAATTTCTTTCCTCCCACAGCACCCAAATCACTGCTGCCCTTGTGCATCTCCACAATGCTCTCCCTCTTTTTTTGTCCAGCTGAAGGTAGAGGAGTCATAGCCTAACCAAACTCACCGGGGGATTCCAACTGCAACCAAAAAGATTGACGAACCAAATCCAAATGCTGTTAGCAACAGGGCAGGAGATGAGAATATGAAATGCAGTCTCACCACTCGATTCACACAGACAGCACCAATTAGGTGAAAGACACCAGTCAGGTCTCTTCCTCTGCATCAGATCACAGGTGTTGATTGCACCATGGTACACCTCCTAAGAGAAAGCACCCACTTTAGGGGGATTAGGGCGACACCAAACTTCTTTTACTGGAAAGGGTACCCCAGGTACATTTGGAGCAGACAAGGATTTGAAGAAGGAAGCGCAACTGAAGACTCCCTATAGATCAGGAGTTATTATAGATCATAATATTTTTAGGGGTCATTCCCTAAGAAACCTTAATGTAATTACCAAGACCTACCCTGTATGTGGTGTTTGAACAGGAGGTAATGCTTGGACCAGTCCTACTCTGTATGCAGGTATGATAATTATTGGTGGTATTTTCATGTTTTTATCAAGTGTCAAAGATCCCCATGGCTAAAACTGAAGATGCTTTGACAAATTTTCTCTTGTTACCACTTACATACAGGCTGGAAACTTAGAGGAGGCTATAGACATTGTTAACAGAGACAAGTACTTGCTCATTTCTATTCACCCTTAGCAAGTTAGGCTTTTAGTAATAATATTTTAAAAAAGTTAAATTATTCTTTTATTACAGATATTGTAATGGAGCTTCTATATTTACCACATCTTGGGTGGCTGCAAGGAAGTTCCAGGATGAGATTGAAGTAGACCAGGTAAGATAATCATATAAACCTACAATGGAAGATGGAAATATTGTTTGACTTAGGTGGCCCTCTTGGGGTTGTCATGATTCTGAATGGATGGGCAGTCCAACTCCCATGTGATGCATGGAAAGTGCCAGTCTCCACTGTGCAGAAAATTAAATAGGGTCAGAATCCCTGACTTGAAAAGATATAAACTTAACTGTCCTTCAATGTCAATCCAGGTTGGCATAAACACACCCATTCCAGTTTTATTGTCCTTTTTCTCTTATAATGGATCCAAGGAGACTGTGACACGCAATCTAAGTTTTTATGGTAAGAATATATGTATATATATATATATATATATATATTCCAAAAGCTGCTTTTTTTTTAAAAATTTATTCAATAGCATCGGCTACATAGAACGGGAAGACTCTTGTGCTCGGTGTTACTTTTGTTAATTCCAGGCAAGGCATGTGTGCAGTTATACATTCAGATCAAAATGGTGAGTGAACAATGGAGAGACTCAGTGGGACAAGGGGTGCCACTGGATCAAGGAATGTAGTCAAACTCAAGGGACAATGCCAAACGAGAGAGAGAGAGATGCTATGAAACTGTTGTATTTGAATCCATGCGTTGCCTACATGTTCCATTTATTGGCCTAAATGTCCTTTAGAGACATGCTACAATGGAATCCGGATTTGCTGGATTTACTCCTCACACCAACCTCAGCGCTTTCAGCCGTGCATTGAGAACATCTCTCGTACTTGATTTTATTATTAATAGGAAGATGTTTCCAATTTCCAATGCATGGCTGCCATGTGTTGTGAGGTTGGTGTGAGGCAGGCTCTGTGAGGAGCAAATCCCATTTTGCTACAATGACTCTATAAGGTTGCCCTCTTCGTAACAGAAATTAGCCAATTAGGTGCCTTCCTAAGCTGTCACATATAAAGAACACCAGGACTACCACGAGATGGATCATTCTAAAAGAGAAAAAAAAAAGCAAAAGATCAGCACAATCAAACGATCCCAATAATACACATACAGACTAGGTCAAGTAGGCTACTCTTAGAATTTGACCAGAAACAGGGATTAGATCCATGTGGGTCTCTTGTTGATCATTTGTTGTTGTAATGATGTTATTACAGATCAACCATGGAAGATGCATGGGTGTAGGTGACATGCCTTGATTTGCCCTATATGTGGCGCATAGCAAGCTTCCCAGAAAGTACAGAGCAATGGACTTCTTTTCAAGTCATTAGCCATTACAGACATGGTGGGACATGTGAAAGGTGGCATTATTAGCCATTAGCAAGCAAAAGCTACAGAATTTGTACCAACTACCAAGCAAGGTTGTAAATATCGATAATGCCCGATATGCTGGTAGGGGTGTATCGGTACATTTTTTTTTTTACTTCTTTTCAAAACCGGTTCAAGGGGGTGAGTTTAAGGCTCCTCCACCTCCTGAACTGGTCAGAATCCCAATACGCCCCTACACCCTCTGTAATGGCTGTATCGGAGTTCTCCTGATACTTTGAACCCTCTAGTACAATATTCCAGTGTTGAACCCTCCACGATGCCTACGGAGTTTGTACCACGCATCACCCAATTAATACATTACTTATTGATAAAATATATATTTATGCATGGTTTGTATATATTATTTGTGCTGATGTAGCACAGTCCTTCCTGTGACCCGGATAAAAACGATTTAACCTCCGAATCAATTTTTAAATTATTGGGATTTTCATGTAGTGGCTTCTAGATTTACAATGTGGGCCCCACGCGGAAAGCCTAGAAACTATGTGAGAAACAAAGCAAACTCTATTGATGACTCAAAATTGTGGTTCAGGGGCTTCTAACATGTAACGTGTTGAATTTAGGAGTTCAGGTTGGCGCCTAGAGCTGTAATGTGAGTCGGGTCGATTGCTGAACTGAAATTTGGGTATATATGTATATAAGCGTTTTTTTTTTTCGATTTGAGTATAAACGTTGTCTTGATGCTATCTAGAAGACACCAAAAGAACCAGACCCGAATCACCCGATACGATACGACCAACTACCGCAGTAAGCTAGAGAGAGAGGGAGAGAACTAAGAAGTGAAGTGGGGAGGTTAGGTTGGAAGACTGAAGACTGAAGACTTGGATGAGTTGGTTATATATACAGAACAGTTGATGAAGCGGAAGAAACGAAATGGAAGACAAAGACATCTTTTTAAGCCCTCCTCCATTTTGAGAATTGAGACAAGCAATCATGAGTGTGCTTTTGCGTTTGTACGTCTGTGGGTCCTCTTCCAATTCCTGAACCTCGCTTTCATTCTAATGCTCCCTCTCTCTCATCCTGTGGGTCTGGGTCTGGGTCTGCACTCTGCAACGCAGAGGGAATCGAAGGACATAAGCATGGAATTTCAGGACGGGGTTTTAATTATAACTGACTCCATATTCGTCAACGCAACTGTCGTAGTATGGGCACTTCACCATTTCTCGGTTGGGCCGAAGGATTTGAGAATCATCACTCAAGCATCTCTTCTGGGTCAGCTTTCTTTTTTTCCTTTCTCTTTCTAAACCCTAGAGTTCTTCATTTTGTGTTTCACTTTCTGAAGGATTTAAGCTCTTCTTCTTTTATCTGTTGATCTTACTTCTTTACCCATTTGCTTTTCCATTACATCTCTTGATTTTTTTTAACCATTTCTCTGGGTTTTGATGGTTCATTCACTGTAGTTTAGTGTAATTAACCTATACTTCGCTTCTGCTCCTTTCGGCTAGATAGCTAAGAATACCTAGTTTTCCCTTTTGATTGTACTGGTAGTGCAACATATGTACAGTGGCATAAGAGTTCTGATTTTTAGTACCCAGATTTATTTTTTTCTTATCCATTTCGTTATTGTCATATTGCCAGAAGGGAGTCTTTATTTTGAATCTTCTTCATTGTCCACTATAGTCTCAATTTCGGAGAAGCCCGGTTTTCACACTCAGCTCTGGTTATTAGAATTAGCCAAAGTTCTTAAACCTGGTGGTTCGGTGTTTCTGCAAGAACCGTTTTTCTTTGACGAGAACAAAGAAGCAGTAAGTTCATTTATTTTCATTCGAAGATATTTTATCTAGTGTTCCTTGATCTTGCTGCATCAGGATTGATGTGCAACTCTTAATTCAGGTCTTGAGGGAGTCCAGATCTTCTTTAGAACGCAACCTTCTGTTTGCAGGTTTCTCTTCCTTAGAGAATTCTGAATGCCTTGACCATTCTGCTGAAATTGATTCATCACTTCAAAATTTTGAGATTATTGCGGTATTCTTGTAACTTGCACTAGTTTATTTATATATTGTCATTATTTTATGCTATTTTTTCTAGTTGATTTGTTATTTATTTCCTCTATTTTGTGGTGAACATATTATTTTATTAGTATTTCAGAAATATTAGTTAATTCTCATGCTTTTGACAGAGCAGATCAAAGCAAAGAGATCTTGCAACCCACAAACTTCCTTCACTTCTCATAAGAGATCAGTGCAGAATAGGGAAATTCCCGTGGTTGATGTTAGTAGCACATTATCGCCGCAGATAGAGGATATGAATGACTTGATTGATGAAGATACTTTGCTTGCACCAGAGGATATAAAGAAGCCTGAGATGCCACTAGGTTTGCATCTCGGACCTGATTAGGACTTCTCTCAAGTACTAATATAATCTAAAGTTCAGTTTAGGTGATTCCACCATGTCCATTAGGAATATCTATGAAGCCCCCTGAAGTCCTGAACTGATCTTTGACCATACAAATTCAAGATCATGCAAACTGAGCAGCTGTTATCAGTTTATCAACATCTTGGAGGCTCAAGATATACTTGCTTAACCTTGGGATATACCAAATTAGCCAGGGTCGTTTAGCTTAACAAGGAGGCTTTAGGAAAAAGGCTCAATTTGTGAGTTTTTTTAGCAGAAATAAAAAAAGGAGCTGAGGCCCAGCTCAACACTCCCAGAGCTTGCATCGTTCATTGGCAGTCTAAATTCCATGTGTTAGTTCTACTCCATCTACTTTTGTTATAACAAGTTGATAAAATCTATCTGGGCATTTACTTACCAAAAATAAATAAATCGACCTGAGCATTTATTTTCACTAGGAAACATGAACATGAAAGGTTATTACAATTTGATAATGTAAATTGCAATGTAACCTGCATGTTTTAAATTAGTTAATAGAAGTGTTATAGTCGCAAGGAAAAGGTCATAAACCAACAACTAAATAAAAGATTGGAGAAAAAGCTCTATGCTGTTTAGCAGCTAACATTCAAGTGGTGGTATAAGCTTTATACTGTCTATTCAGGTATTTAAATTCTGTTGCTTAGCTGACAGTTTCAATTTTGAGAAATTCTGATGTATATGCTATTTAAAGTGTCATTTCTTTTGTTACACCCTTACATTTTATGTTCTTCATTTCAATCCCTCTACATCATTGCCTACACTTTTAGAATATGGTTTTAGTGAACCTTCAAGCATTTAACAGCATCTTCTCTTTAGTATTGTCTTCTGAAATTCTTATATTGACTAGATTAGTTGTCCTTAAATCACCAATATGTTTTCTTTTGTCACTCATACTAATTACAATTCCCCTCATCTTTTCTGAAATCAGACAACAATTTTCTATTAAGGGAGCGGATACGAGAACGCAATCGTCTCTATCAGCGTAGACGCCGGGCACGGATGTCTGAAGAGCAAAGAAATCGTGAAAGAGAGAGAAGGCGGCAGTATATGCAAAGCCGAAGAGTACAGCCAATTAGCTATGACACACCAGTCCCTCTGCCAATTAGTTATAATGGACATAATGAATGTGAACAGAATCCCCTCTGTGCTCAGCAGCTTTTAGAAGCTCAAGGCATTGAGTTGGAAAATAACCAGGGCATGGGAGAGGCACGGGAAGCTTCATAGTAGGGAAAAAGGTAATAATGTGAGGGAGAACTAGTATGGTATATACTTTGCCTGTGAACAAGTTTAGATCTGAAGTGCCAAATGCTGCACTGCAAAGGGCTTGATTGACTGAATACTGGAAAAATAACATGCCAATAAAAGGTTTGGCCAGTGCAATACAGTGGATAATTTAACTGAAAAAAGTCAAAAGTAACTATTTCACATTTAGAAACAAATGTGAATATTGTTAGTCCTAGAAGTAGAGGACTATCATCATGCTTTTATGATTTTTTTTTTTTTTTTTTTTTTTTTTTTTTTTTTGGTCATTGTAGTTTACATATTGTAGAAACAAACTTGACCACTACATATGAAGAAACAAACATTCCCAGTGTGAAACCTCTTGGTTTTGTGTAAAGTGTGATCGAAGTATCATTTAAAATGTATGGGTTTATGTGATCTTTAAGAACAATATGATTTCTTACATCTATATACTCTTCTTTTACTCTCTAATAATTATCCTTAAGGCTCCATTTGGAAGGAGTACAAATACAAATATGTAGAGCATAAAATCTTGTATTTTGTATGTATTTGTACTGTACATATTTGTATTTGTAATCCTTCCAAACTGAAACTCAGTTTGGAAAGAGTACGAATACAAATATGTAAAGTACAAATACATACAAAATAATACAAAATACAAGGTTTGGAACTCTACATATTTGTATTTGTACTCCTTCCAAACTAAGCCTAAAGGACTAACCACTGCCGCTGGCTATACAAATTCCATATATGTTTTCTCCTGATGTAAATTCCCTTACTCCCTTACTGGAAATCTGGAATGGCTTAGGAATGGCTTAGTGCTGTTTATCAAGCCCTTAGAGCTACATTTTCATCTCAAATCTGCATTGAGGTATTGTCTTTGATATTAGAAAGATGAATCAAGGCAAATTAAAGGTTACTATAATTGTTCTTGACCCTTGGTAGTCAGGAAAAAAGGACTATAGGTGCTAGATGTTGTATTTGGTTGGTAAAAACCGGAAGAAAGAAAATTGGATTGAATGTTGATGTTTGCAATTATTTGTTTTCAACAGTCAAGCAAATGAATTGGGTGAAAATGACAAATGTGGTGCTCGTTCCTTTGTTATGTTAACCCAAGTCATCAACATTAAGGGTTTTAAGTAGAGCTGGTAGTTGGTACCATAAAAATCAGATTGATGATTGATTGGTTATTGGTTGCTACATGCAGGGTTTGTTTGGTTTGCAGGAATAAGGGTCTGGAATCAGAATTGGAATTCCATTCCCATTCCTGGTGGAATGGCATTCCCCCATTTGAGGGAATGGGCATTCCCTTCCCCTCCCTTCGGAATGGGAATACGTTCCAACTGATTCTGATTTTGATTCCAATTCCCGTCTGAACCAAATAGGTGGAGAAATAGATCATTCCAATTCCAACTACAAACCAAACAGATCCTCAATGTTTTAATATTGACAACTAGCCCAGATCTCTTTTGCAAATCCTGTTTGGTCTTGTTTAAACTATTCCTACATAAAAATAAATTTCCAATTTTTTCATGGACCAATAGCTCAATTGGAAGAATCAATTGTACTATTTTATTTCAGAAACTGCTGGCAGAATCAGAAGATGCTTTTAGATGAACAATTATTGATGGCAACTCCAAACATTCCAATCTTGATAGTTGTCTACTTTCTATTTACTGAACTTGTAAAATGTACATCTCAATTTCTTGGCTCAGGCCACAGCTTACCTCATGGCAGATCAAAACTCATACTTGGATGCCCAAGTTTCTTTTGGGCATGCATTGCAGAATGACCAATGCTGTAGAACCGTTTTCAGCATTGGTCTATATTATTCAACGTTCAATATAATGCCACATTGATACCACATCATTGCACCGCTGGCAGTAATGGACTGTTTTCTGAGAAAACATTGAATTTGACGTTTCTTCATACCATACTTTCCCGATTTACAAAGGGTGGTATGAAACAATGCTTTTTCTGGAAAAATGGTACCAAATAAGAGGTCATTTTCTGAAGTACCGCTTTTTCTGATGTAATGCTTATGTGGCACCATTTTATCAAAAAATGGCATTGATGTCAAACACCTCCTAGAACCATTTGTGAATCTGAGCAGTATCAAGATGCTATTCCATCCCTTCTCCACTGCTTTCGATAAATAGCCATGAGTTCAGCCTATTCAACTGAGTTAGGAGACCAAATGTATTTAACAGCATGAGGAACTTTAACTACATTGCAGGGAGGATTAATGAAACGTTCAGAAATTTGAGGATTGTAATAAAAAAAAATGATGAAAACAGTTGATTGACATGGTTAAGAATCCAGTGAACAGATATCTCCTTTTGTCTAAATACTTTCTCATTCGAGCATATTAAATGTAAATAAGACGCCATAGCAATCCAACTTAAAATATGCTGGATAAGCAGTTTATAATCTAACACATTGAATTAAGGAGGTTATATAATTGATCCAAGAATTGTAAGAGTTAGCTCGTAGACGAATATTCCATGGTGAACCAAAATAAATCACAGATGCAAAGGGACAAGAAGAGAAGAGGTGAATTATTAGCTCCAATTTTACTTTTAACAATTGTACTCAAAAATAAGTTTACTTTTTTAGGCTTCATTTGTTTTTCTGTAAATAAGGGAGGATAAGTTGGTCAACACGAGAATTGATCAATTTATCCTTTTTTTGGTATTAATGGGTGTCACGGAAAAGAATGATTTGCATGACAATTATTTGAATTAGCCTCCCACACCCAATTGGATAAGCAATTTTTCCGAGAAAATTTATTAATACATAATGGAACAATATTATCCCTTTAATAATTATATTTATATGGATAAAACAGTCATTGTTGACATTTACCCAGGACTGAGAAAAAGAAAGAATTTAAGAGGAAGAAACCCATTCATTAAGGCTGTGTTTGGAATCGGTATAAATCAAGAACAATATAAAAGTTTACGCTGGTTCTGTTTTGTTGGCGTTTGGATAAAGTGTAAATGAAAATCAATATAAAACTCCACTCCAGTTTAGATTTATTGGTGTTTGAATGGAGTGAAGTTTTACATGCATTCATCAAACATAAATTTTTACATTAATTATTGATGTAAATAAGATATTAATGTTATTAATGTAAAATTTTACACTTTTTATCACGATTTTCAAAATGATAACTATCACTTACTACCGTTCAGTGTAAAATATACACCGGTGACGTTTTACACCAAATCTAAACAAAGCCTAAAAAAGAAGAGAAGTCCCCAAAGAAACAATCAATGGTCCAATGTAGGGTGTCAATAGACCGATTTTGAATGGACCCGGCAAAAAATAAGACGTATTAAAATTGGACCAATCCAGACATAATGGATTTGGTAAGATTGAAACAATAGATAGAAAAGATTCCAGAGATTCTATCTCCTCCGGACCGTAACTACAGTCCTATGTCACAAAAGATCCAAGAACAACGATTCAAAGAGGAGGAGAGGACATGATATTAGTTCTAGCGCCTTAGCGGTGGACGGAGTGCAACATGCACACAACCCTGGTCTCAACCGTTCACCATCGACTGATTCAGGTTTCACATTCACATACGAAGCTGTCGACTGTGCATTTTGATCAAAGCCAAAGAAGCACTGATGATGGTATACTTCATCTCCCCCTGCCTTCTCACCTCAAGTTTATTTCTAGTCCTTCAAACCCATTTGTGAAGCACTGTGTCAAGCTTCGCCAGAGCTCCTCTTACCGCCACTTACATCGTTCTGCTCTTGTCGTCGGAACTACTCCAATTAGGTAATCTGGTATCTCCTTGTAATATCTGTTTGGATTTAACAACTGCCCTGGATTTCAATTCCCATTTCAGGTCTTCTTTGTCTCGCATATTTCCAAGTAAAACCTTTAGATTTCAAGCGGAATTGTTAGGTTTTCCTTCTTTGCCTGAGTTCTTCACGCGAAGAGTTTAGATAGCTTAAAGGATGCCTAGTGCTACAGACGAAGCAGTCGTTTATAAGGAAATTATGAAAACCCAACTAACTGATTCTCTTCTTCCACGTTCATCTTGAAGTATCAGAATTATACTAAAGGTTTTAAAAACTCGGGTGTTCAAAAATTGGGTTGACTAAGCCAAGTTGTCTCGCTCGGCAGGAAATTGATACGTGTACTTGTTCTGAATTCATTTGCTCAAAGTGAACTTTGGAAGAGGCCTGTGACCATTTTATTAGAATTAAAATGAGCAGAACATGTATCTAGGTGAGCCAACAACCTTCCAATCATTTGGCTTCTTTTTTTGTTCAAATTGTAGTTATGTCAAGCTTCACTTCTTTGCTTACAGCTAGAGGCACACACATGCCAACAACCTTGACTGTGAATGCCCTTACTTTTCATTCATTGAGGAGAAAATGAGAATGTATCTTGAAGAGTCATTCTCACTCTACCTACTGGGAAATACCATATCCATCAGGCATAAATTCATGGGCATTTTTTATTACATATTTCTAGGGTTGTTATTGTTTATAATTTAAGACTTGCACCAACCATTGGGTGTTTAAGCATGTTCCAGGCTAGCTTGGTTAGAAGTTTAAGTGATACTATTAACTGCCCTAAAATCTAACTTGGAGTCACCTTACATTCAACCCTACTGATTTTTTGTGAATTCTCGTTGTTCAACAACTCTTGGATCTAGGACTTTCTCTAAGTTTCCTAACCCAATGATGGCTTTCTAGTTGCTTCCAGCTTTACTAGTTCCTGTCACTCATTCTGACGATTAAGTAGATCACCATTATATGATAACCAATGTTACCTGCAAACCTGGTTTCTAAGGGTTACTTCTTGGAAATGCCATTACTACATCCTGCAAGGTCATTGCTACCAGATTTTGATGTAGTGGTTTCAATTCATTCTCTGATGTTTCTAAGGTTCTTCAGTACCAGAAAGTTATTAATGGTCCAACCATAAAATTTTACACTGCCGATGAAACTATTTGACATAGAAAAGTGTGCAGGGAAATATTGGAGTTCCAAGGGTTGAGACAAGGACCCAGCAAAGTGGATTGTTTACTTTTACTTGATGGGGCTGAGGTTCCCAAAGGGTTGTGTGATTCCTATGTTCGTATTTTGCATGTGAATTCTATGGTGATGAGAAAACTTTCAGGAGTGCAATCAAGTGATTCTATAGAAACAGTTGCTCTGATGAGAATTCCTACTAGTTTCTGCAACATGGAGGACAACCAAAGAGAAACCAATTTTCGAAATTGGTTCCCTTCCCCACATCGTATTCTAGTCCTTGATGGGATCCAGGTACATCTGAGACTTGTTGCTCATAGTTCTTATTATGTAGCACAGTTTTATAGACTTTTCTGCCTTCTCTTTTTGAGCCATTGTGTTTTAAGTTAGATATGACATTAGGTTCCAAATTCTTGTTAGACTCTCCAAATGTGTGCATATGTAGCATTTCAACTTACTATTATCTACAATGGAGTCACCACTGCAATATTAGCAACAAATTTCCTCTCTTTTTTGCTTCTTATCTCTTAATTTTCTTTTTAACATTTCTATTTTAAAGATTGCAGTGATAGCTTTATCTATGATTGTGCACTAGCCATCCAAATGCTTTGCAAATACTAAATGATGTGAATTTATTCCATGTTATGAAAAACCAAATTCCTCATGTCTTTTACACCTTGATAAGAGATATATCCTGAGGAATCATTAACTTTGAACTTTTAGTGAAAAATAAAGCATGAACTGCCATGCTTGAGGAGATTCATTCAAATATACATGAAGATATTAATCAATTTAAAATCTCCTTCTGGATGTATATATTAGATTCTCTCTTTTTTTTTATAATAGTTATAAACTACTTCTCAACTGTTAAAAAGGCAAACAATTTAGCATTAATCACCTCGGTCAAATCCACTAATTAGGTTCATCACTTTTACTTTTCTTTGGCTTTCCCATGGTCTTTTAGGATCTCACAATCATTTTTGTTGCTTGCTAACATGTCAAGGGTTTTTCACTGCAGGACCCTGGTAATGTCGGTACGTTGCTTAGATCTGCAATGGCCTTTAGATGGGTATGGTGTTAATCATCAATTTCTATCTTGGTCCAAATACTTTTGTCATCATCATCATTGTTATGACCATTATCATATATTATATATCAAAAAGAAAGTATTGTGTTGTTGGTAGAATGGTAAAGTCTCAGGCTATCAAGCATGAGAACGTGGGTCCGCATCTAAGTGGCCACTTTGTGAAAAAAAGGGCCAAAGGTTAGGACCATATCCAGTCCACCCCTCCCAAGACTCCATATAGCTAGAACCCACATGAGTAATGGCCTTAAAAATGTATTGTATTTCTACATTACTTGCTTTGCTGCCTGTAATAACAGGTCGGTTCTTCATATCTTCAGTTAGCCATGTTAGCTTAATCCACTACAAATGCAACCGAAAGTTGCCACATATAGGGGACATACCCATCCCTTTTGTCAGATAGGTTAGCCTCTTCTGAGTCAGGAAGACATTGATAGATGGATTAGCATGTAAACATTTAATCGAGGAGCCTTTTTCTTTTTTTTTTTAATATCTATGGAAGGGTTTGCTTAATATATGTTTTACGTACAGGTCAAAGTTGTAAATAGAAAATGCAAAATGCACAAAAGACAAAATAAAAAAGGAAGAAAAAGTAAACTAACAAAATATTTTACGTAGAACAGACAAGGAAATCTTTCCACTGGCTATTAGTTATGTTTACCTTGGCATTTCCCTTTTCACTTGATGAGTTGGCTCAAGATATTTCTGGCTTTTTGCAATCGATTGAACTTGACAGACGATCTAGTCAGTTTTCCAAGCTACTAAAATATTTAGTTCAGTCAGAGTGATTTCACGATATTGAGTCCAATTGATGGTTTTGAAATATGAGTAACAATGGTTGATAACACCATTACCTTAAAGGAAATTGATTTGGGTGCCAATGACCAACAGGATGGTGTTTTCCTTCTTCCCGGTTGCTGCGATCCTTTCAATGAGAAAGTGCTCCGAGCAGCTAGAGGAGCTTCCTTTCAACTACCTATTGTTTCTGGCAAATGGGTTCATCTAGAAGCTCTCACAACTGAATTCGAAATGAAGCTGTTGGCAGGGCATCCCGAGAGTATGGGAGAATCCAAGTGCTCGTCTTCAATCTCTAAAAAGCTTGTAAGTTGTTTAGCAGATAAGCCATTGTGCTTAATATTAGGCAGTGAAGGGCATGGTCTTTCAGACCAATCTAGGCAGGCCTGTGAGCTTATAAACATTCCTATGGCAGGGGGATTTGAGTCTCTAAATGTTTCAGTTGCAGGTGGCATTTTCTTGTTTTTGCTGCAACCAGAGAATCGGATATTTATATAATTTTTCCCTCATTGTTTATGATAACCAAATTCTTGATTCCAGTCCTTTCACCTACACCTTAATTTTGGAAGAAGTACAAAGACAAATATGTAGAGTGCAAAACCTTATATTTTGTATGTATTTGCACTCTACATAGTTGTATTTGTACTCTTTCCAAACTGAGTCTCTGTTTGTTCGCTTGGAAAATCTGAGCCGGATATCAATTTTGCACCCAGTCAGTTTTGCATTTGTTTATTTGTTTTTATGATTTGCACTTCTATCTTAATATAAAATTTGTACTTTTTTTTAATCTCATCTGTATTTCATTGGTAGTACAAATTTTGCATATAAAAACTGATACAAAATTTGTACTTTCAACCTTCTTCCTACTAAAATTCTCTCATATATGGTGGGAACCACACCATCTTGCTTCCTACCTCATACCAAAATAAATAACGGAAAAGTGTGGATAGGCCCAATGCAGATTTCTGAATTACACTGCAGATCTATAAACATTCAAAATGTCAAAAAACCCCCACTCTATATACCAATGCCCGCAATTAACATCAATTCCGAGTTGGCACTTACCCCAACTGTACTTTGGGCCTAAAAATTCTGACCCTAGGCTGAACCATCATTCTCCCAATAAATAATCCTTCATCCTATCCCATTCTCTTTCATGCAAGGTGTGACTGTGGATTACATAGCCGACCATGATTTACACTCAACTTATTTGCACTCATATATTTCCATTAATGCAAATAAAATTTGCATCATAAAAAGAAACTGAGCCTAAAATGAACTTCGAGGCTCAATTACAGAGCTCTTTTAATGCTAAAGGTTCCAATCACATTCCATTGTTGCATTTTTTTATGAAGAAAATTAGATTCGTTGTATCAAACCTCGTTAACAAAAAAGAGCAGCGACAGCGAGCTAGGTTGGTGTAGGATGATCTTGGCTGGGCTAGACCTCTACAAGATCTTCCTCGGCCTTTGCAAGTAGGGCTGTCAATGAACTGCACGTTGGTCCATTCCAATCTGGTCTGATATAAATACATTATAGATGGACCATTTTGAATTTGATCCAATTCAATGTCTGTCCAATCTGTTCAATGAACAATGGAGAAGTCACCATGTGGGAATGTTATCCAATATGAATTGTTTTCTTTGATTATGATTTAAAAAAAGTAGTTCTACAATCAGTTTAAGAAAACATACGTTTGGTTGCATGGTATATTTCTTTATTTCAAAGTGAAGCTAAAAATGTGCTCTGAATTTCGGGTTTCAAATACATGATTTTCTCAAACAATTTGGTAAAATATATTTCATAAACACATGACATTCAGATTGATTCTGATTTTTGTTTTTGTTAAAAAGATAAATTCTGATGAAATGGATATCAATTCAGCTTTAGAGGTGCAATTTGGGTGGGTTTGGGTTGAGATTTTGTTTAAAATAAAATGAATGGGTCCGGTCCAAAACCTCGAGCCCAATGTTCTGTAAATTCTTCAAATCAGGTATCCAATTTGCACCCATTCAAATTTTTATTCTTATTATTTTTTTTAATCTATACTTGGTTAGAAGTTCATTTTAATGTGAGTTGGTTTTAGAACACATCTCCTATGGTTGCAGCACTTATATATCAGAAACCCCCAATAAAATACGGAGACACAGACACTACCAATCCTTTTAAATTAAAAACATCAAATAAAAGAAGCTTTAGGCTATGTTTGGTTTGAAGGAAAAAGTAGAGAAAGAAAGGGAAATTTAAGGAAATCTATACAAGGTTTATAAAGGTTTTTCTGCCTTTCTTTTCCTTTCCCTATTTTTTCCTTCAAACCAAACACAGCCTTAGCACTTGTAAGAAGGTCTCACTGAGAGTTTGGAGTTGAGTGCATATGTGTTGGTGAACTGAAGCAGCATAATACCAATAATACCAAATAGAAGTAGTTCAAATCTCTTGTAGAAATGAGAAGAAAATATTTCTCATGTTGAAAACAATTTTTTATTGACTATAAAAGTAAGATTGGTTTTTAAAAATCAAACTGAAAGCAATTTTTAACATATTGTCAGTTTTTGATTGATGTGACATCGTTCCAAAACAAGAAAGGCAAAAACACACCTGCTAGAGTGATCGAGCTTAGGATCCCAAGAAAATTGAAGCAGAGAAAGCATTCCAATTTCATAATGTACTCCCAAAGTTGAAAGTTCCCAGCAATGGATTGAACAAGACATAAAATCCTATTTATTATTAAATTATCAAATTCAACCAGATAATGGGTCGGCTCGAAAATATAGGAACTTAACACCCATTAACCCGATTGGCAATGTTAGATAGTCGGGTTATCGGGTACCTAGCAGCTTTTTGTCACACCCATCACCCATGGTTTAAATCTAAATACGTGCAATGCAACTTAACCAGATCTATCACTATACAACCGGCCCATTTGGTGATTGAACAGTACCCATTAGAGGATCTAAGGTCGGATCCAAACTGATGTGATTAGTCCATTATAAAAGAAATATGGATAAGAAATGTGATATGGGTCTACATTACATTCTCATCATGGAGACTCATAAGAGCTGAAGAATGTGTTTGACTTGAAGAAGAAAGATGATGATGAACATAGCTCAACACTTGGTGGGATCTGGTCTTAATAATGGTGATAACAGATGAAGTGAAAGGAACTAGCAACAACCAAAATTTAAGGTGAAAATTGATGATTCAAAACACTATTTATCTCACTGTACAAATTTGGGAGGTGGGAAGGGACTTGTGGTAAAAGCACAGAGGAGTACATATCTATTATGTGTGTGCTGTCACACTGTAACTCACTTGTATAATTAATAAGAACAACTAAAAAAAGAGAAATTTGTTTTCAGTCAGCATGTGAAAGGACTAGAATGAGTTCTATTTCGGTTGGAAATTTTTATAATAATTTATAAACTTCTGGGTTCAGAAAAAAATTGATATAGACGGGTTTTCAGTTCAAAGGACAGATCGGTGGAACGAGGAAAGAGGAGAGAAGACAAAATAGAAACACACACAGAGAAAGAGAGAAAGAGAAAGAGAGAGAGCGAGAGAGGAAGAGAAAAGCAATGAAGAAGAAGAAGAAGAAGAAGAAGAAGAAGAGTGAAGATTTTTCAGAGCTTGAACTTTCTCCACTACAAACAGGTATTTTTCTTCTTTATCTAAGGCCCTGAATGGATTGTTGAAAGTTTGTTCCTTCTGGGTTTCTTTTCTAATATTACAATGAAGAGCTTCAATTTGAAGATCTTCATTTTCCATGTTTGTGCTGTTCTGGTTTTATCAGAAACTACAACTATTTTATTTGAACACCTTCACAGAAACTACAATCACCCTATTTTTCTTAATTTGATAGTGCACTTCATTTCTCTTCATAGCCAATAATAAGAAACCAACTTCTGTTTTTTTGTTCATCTCCAAAATGTGAAGAAAACTCTGCAAGATACTTGGGAAAGTTTCATAACCCCAGATTAAATTGCCATCTGAGATCGGAAGTGGTTCCCAGAATGATGAAAAGAAATGCCTCACCACCGAGAAAACAGAATGACACGTAGAAGTTGAAGAATTTCCTACATGTCAATTATCTATTGCATGTGCCTAACTTCTGAGCTCCAATTTAAAGTTTTGAACACTGTTTACGTATTAAGTTGATTTTGTTGGACTGAGGGCGATGATATATTGATATCTATCAAGAAATCTAATTTGTTTCTGAAGAGGCTGGAAGTGGTTCGAGTAATGCTGCTATCTGTGGGCACTGACTAGAAATGAAGGAAATGGAAAGTCACTATTTGTTAGGTTAAAGAGTTTCAAATTTCTGCCAAGTTTTCTGCACTGTACAGGTGGTGGGTTTGGTCTTCCAAATTAAACCATAAAACCAAAGTCTCAGTTGCTGTTGTTAATTTGTTATTTAACAAATAAATCCATCAATTACATTTATTAAAACTGCAACATTAATGGATAATGGGGTTGTGGGTGTGAGTGGCCAATAATTTGAATTTCCTTCCTTGGATGCTGATGAAATGTGAGGCTGGGGCTGGATTGATCAATGCTCTGTTCTTCCACTGCAACACTCAAACTCTCTCTGTTTCTGTCTCTCTTACCGGTTTTTGTCTCTGAGCTCAGACACTGACAACACTCTTTTTCCTTTTTCACAATCTTGTGAAGTTACAATGTCATTGAATGCATCTTTCCCCCGCTTCTTCAGGGTCTCTCCTTTTCTGCTTTCTCTCTTTTTATTTATTTATTTATTTTCATTTTGTATTATTTTACCCCCTTTTGTTTACATGATAAAATATATTATATCCGGTTTTTCTTAATATAATTTTCTTTCTTTCATTCTGACCCTTGATTCATTGGCTTGTCGATTCTTGTCTCTGAGTCCCTGGCTGCAAACCCGAATGCTACTCCCTGGTTGAAGTGGACCGGGTGACAGTCTTGGCCCACCCATTTCTGGCGGCCCGCAACATGACTATTGGAACCCCATTTCTGACAGCCTGATTTACTGCTGAGGTTTCTTTTTTTTTTAATCTCATTAAAGAATAAAGACCCATCTACACCACAATCCCCTTTGCAAATTAATATGTTTAGGAATTAGGAGTAGGGGTGCAATTTTGGTGGGATCCTGTTGACCTTTTATCAAAATTTGAATGGGCCTGGCCCGAGCCCGAAGCAGTGTAAAATACTAACTCGAGCCAACCCAAATTGCTTATATTTGTTTAATGTGAGAGTTAAAATGCATTGGACATTAAGATCAATGTTCCTGAAAACAAAGGGTTAATTCCCTCTTCGCCATTCATTTTTAATTGATCCATTTGTTTTATTTGCATGTAAAGGATAGGAAATGCATTTGCAAGAAGGCGAAAATGAAATATGAACAAAATGATAGAAAATAATTTTCAAAAGAAAACTATAGATTACCATAAAATAGACTGAGCCATCAATTTTCTTCAACTTAGGCTCAGTTTGGAATTTGGGAAGAATACAAAAACCTTGTATTTTATATGTATTTATATTTGTACTCCTTCCAACCGAGCCTTAGCTCCAATCTCATTTACATTTGAACAAGATTTCGTTGTAATTTACACTTTCCATTCTTAATTGCAGATTAATGGTACACAGGATCAGTAACAGCAGTGGGTTCGACCCAGCAAACATAGACTGAAAGAAGTTGGGTCTAGAGTCCTCTTAAAGAAGCTCTTTTTTACCTTACACCGTCTGATATTGGCATGAACAGGCTCAATCTTATTCTGTGATGAATCAAGTATATGATGTTTTGATGTTTCCAAGATAGTTATTTACCTAATACAGTATATCATTTTTCCAAATAAGGTAGAGAAATAATATATGCATTACTTGGGAAATACAGCTTTCGCTTCAATATAACTTAAGATGAATCCCAGTATTATCACCGTTTTCATCGTATCCGGATTGAACATTTCGAGTTAATGCCAGAGACCCAGAACGCTAGTTTGGGAACTGGCCAGTGGCCACAGAGTAGTCTAGCTGGAGACCTGGAGTCGGCTTGGTTCTGGGAGAAGACTTGATTAAAACCCAGTTACATTTTTTTTTTTTTTCATTTTCTGTTGCGGTAGGCATTTTTGTTAGAACTAATCATCCCAGAAACGCAAAGAGAAAAGCTCCGCCTCTGCGAAATCATCAGTGTTAAACCTGGGTTGCTGCAAACTTGTATTACAATTGCAATCAAATCGAGAAGACAAATTTAGAGCCTTCTACGGTATTCCTTTCCTAGGGCATCCTCCTTGATGATATCAACAAGGGAGACGGGAAAATCAACAGGCCATAATACTACATCATTGCTGGGAAGATCCATCCTGGCGAGATGGTCAGCAGCTCGGTTGGCTTCACGCCATGAATGCGAGACTCGGTACTTGTCAAACTTTCTTAGCATCTCCCATATGTGCTTCAAGCAGCTACCTGCTTTCTGAGGATGAGGCCACTCTTTATTGATGACCTTCACAACACTCATTGAATCGGACTCAACCCAGATATCTTTAATTCCCTGGCCTAACGCAAGAACAAGGCCCCTCCAAACAGCCCATAATTCCAGTGAGAAGATTCCATCTCGAGGGGCCTTGGTAACAAAGGCACAGATTGGATTGCCCATGTGATCCCGCAGCAACCCACCTAAACCAGAATTCTGTGGATCAATAGATCCATCTGTATTTAATTTTGTCCATCCTAACATGGGCTTCTCCCATCTGCACCACCTAATTGGTCTACCAATTGGGGTGTTAGCTAGCCATTCCATTTTGAGCATTATGGCCTGGTTCAAGTCTTTGAATTCATCAACATTACTGATTCTCTTCAGCATCAAAGCAGGTTCGTCCATCTTTCCATTTCCAATCTTGTATGCTAGAAGATCCTCCTCCTTATTCTTGTGCTTTCTCCCTTGCACATGCTTTTTCAAACATTGCTCACTGGAAGTGCTCACCAGACAGAGAGCACAACTCCATTCTCTTTGAGCATTCTTTGAATTGGTTGGCACAATCGGTTCCCCATCCAAGCTATCAATTTTTGGCTTTTCAAAGTCACCCTGCAATGACAATCGTGAACAGTTCGTCATTGAATGCTGTCAACGCTGCAACTCTCAGCTAGCAGCACCATGGAATCACCATCAGAATGAGTACATGTTTCCTTGGATTCTAACAAGCATCCAAGAAGTGGTGATGGGAAATGGAGCATTTGATTGACCCTAACAGTTTTTGTGCAAGAGATATTCTTGATGTTCTTCCAAAATTACAGCAAGGTTTTGGATATCAAGTAAACTAGGACATCCTAAGTAACCGCTAAGTTTGTTATATAACTCTACCTTGCCAACGATGAGTTTCTCCAGTGCTTCTGATCCATTCTCTCTGATGTATCTCTCTGCAGCAACAAGGAAGTCACCTTCTGTAGTGAAGATCAAGAAGTCATCTTGTGTAGTGAAGATAAAGCTCTTCAGGTTGAACCATATGCTAGATGTTAGTGGCCTCATGGAAAGAAGTGGTCTAAAAAATCGTTTATAGACATAAGCAGCACCCTCAAAGTATGGTACCACCAACATGCATGACACTATCCCCTTTGCATGAGGCCAGAATGGGAGCCTGACACTATAAGACAAACAAATGAATGGGAAAATGGAGCAACCATCAATATACTGAGCTATAAACAATAGAGCAATAAAACATAAGAACAAAACCGATTACTATCAGCTGTGATAATATGAGAGTGGAGTGATAACTATCAGCTTGTTTGGATGCCATGATTGTCACCTGAAATGGATCACTTTCTGGTTGTTAAGAAACTGGAACTGAGCTACATTCTCAAGGTAACAAGACCTCATTCCAATATTTTATTAAACAAACCAGGAAGGGCCCTGTTTTAAATGGTGAGTTTGTGTCCTAATATGCAAAGAATGATCACAATGGAATCAATTCAATTTACACGACATCCAAACAGGCTAGCATAGCAACATGTACACAATATCCATTGGAAACTTTTCATTTCAGGATGATATTCAAGGGTCTCTGATTCTTCATCATCATCATCTAAGCTTTGTACCAACTACATGGGGTCGACTACATGAATCCTGTTTTGCCATTCCACTGTGTTCAGTACCATAACCACCCTTGAATTAGGCGCTTAAATCATTTCATATTACTTCCACCCAAGTTCTTTTCGATCTCCCCCTAGCTCTTCTAGACTAGACTCTTCAACTTGTAACTCATATAACTTCTCCTAACAGGTGCTGCAGATGATCTTCTATGCATATAATCAAACCATCTCAATTTACTTTCTCTCATTTTTTCTCTTTCTTTGGTTCTTGTTTGAAAAGAAAACAAAGAAGAAAAACATATATTTTCTCCTTGAAAATGATAGAAGCCACCACGAGTACTCAATTACCAAATGCAAAGACCTCACCAATTGATTTAGCTATATAATCACAATGAGCCATCTATAAAGTCACAACAATATAAAGCAAATTTTAAGAAACGCATAAATACCATATTTTTGCAAGTGCAAACTCCAAGAGTGCTATCAGAGAAAACAGAACCCAATACGTGAGACACTGCTGGATGTTGGACTTCGACCCACTCTCTATGGCTCGGATTGAAGCATATCTGTTAACAACCCAAGGCGAAAACCGTATTAATTTCCAAATTTTCACTTTACAAAAGAGGATAAGCAGAGAGGTAAATGCTAAACACTTACAAGGGATAGATCATAGTGAATAAAGGCCTGTAAATCAAACACAAATAAACAAGTAAACAACTATGACGAATAAAGCAGTAATATTCTACGTATTAAGTGAAAACCAGAAAATGGGGAGAAATAACATACAGCCAAATTCACTCCCCTTTCTGAAAAAGAAATCTTAGCAACAAAGGAATCTTCGTCAAATTAACTCAGGAAACATCAAGAAAATGAATTCATGCATAAAAGATTGCCGAAGATGAGAAAAAAGAAAAAGAGAGAACGAAAGAGAATCCGAGGTTTAGGTTCTCCGTGGTCACGACTCACGAGCCTACATACCGAGCAAATAAGATCTCAGCAGTCAGCTTGAGAAAAGTTCCCGAACCCATCCCTTCAACTCCTTTTCCTATGTTCGTCTGTCCATGTAGCTCTCAGAAGTCTTAATAGAGAAGAATGTCTTCTCCGTCTTCACTTCTCAGAAGAATCGAAGTCTTAATGGGCATAGACAAAGGGGAAACAAACGCGGGAAGCTCAAGAGTCTCTGCTCCCACTCGGCCACTCCCAAATTGGGTCAAAAGGTCGGTAGGGAAAGAGCGTTGATTGCGTCACCTGCGACGAGTCACTCACCCGTTGTCTGACGTCGCAAATTTATTGCCAGTTGCAAAGTAATAATGCATATCTTAAAGCTCACCTGTAAAGTTTAGGCATAATAGGAGATTCGCAAAAAATTGGACACGTGGCTAATAGAAGGGATGGATTCTGATTCTCCCGGAAATTAGGGGTTGAGGCCAACTGATTCCCATTTATCCGAAGAGCATTTATTTGGCCGACCTACTCATTATTTCAGAAAGAAAGAGATTCTTTTCATGTTCGACTCCTTCCCATTCAACGTGCCAAATAGACTTTAAATTTGTTTGGAACTTTGGAACTGATTCTCAAGAGTTAAATGACTTTTACATTAGAATTATTATATAGAAAAGCCCACAAACGATACCGGATCTGCTACTCACACCTGGTGCCTCACACGTACATCCTACCATGCATTGGGAATATCTTTCATACTTATTAGTTATTATTTACGGGAGATGTTCCCAATGCACGGTGAATGTACTTGTGAGGCGCCCCTTTGTGAGAAGCAGATCCCACTTCCCAACAAACGCCCCATATACATAGAGCACGCCCCACAAACACTCTACATGTACAGTCTTAATGTGGATTGAGAACATCTTCCATATTTGTCATTACAATTGGGATGTATTGTGATTGTGGACTCAGGATCTAATACCCACCAATTGTACCCACATAGCACCACCACCATGTATTGGGAACATCTCCCCATGAATGACAAAGGAGATATTCCTAATGCACAAGGTGGGAGGCAATGTGAATTCATACAAGTAATATGTTTCCCATTCATGGCTGGAAAAGGCTGTGAGGACCAAATTTAAACTCTATTATTCAATGCCATATCTGATGCCACACCATTCTCAAAAAATAGTTGAAAATCTGGAAATCACTAAGGATGTGTTTGGTATAGCTCCCATTTATTCATTAAATGTTTATATTTGACTTATTTGCAAAACCGAGAAAAGCAATAATGGTTGTGTTTGTTTCCGTGGGCATTTATTGAAAAAATGTTGCCACATTAGCACCACATAGGCATTGACACTTATTGCATATGAAACAAAATGAAACAAATGTTTGGTTTCACCTTTTATCAAATAAATGATAGAAAACTAAAACGCTTTGATTTTTATGCATGGGACATTTGGGGAAATGTCAAATTCTTGTTTCCTCCAACGCCCCAGTGCTTCTTGAAACCAAATACTGATGTGACACACTTTAATGAGTATTAATATGATGTAGAGAGTAAAAAACATTTAAAGTGAAACCCAGCCAAACAACAAAAATAGGAAACGTTTAAAGTGAAAAAATACAAATAAACGTTTAAAGTGAAAAATTACAAGTAACCAGCCTATCCATAAACACCCACAGAATCAAACACATACAATGAAACCATTTATTGACGACTAGGCACTATTAGGCACCACATCAACATAACAGTGAGCATAATCATTGGGAAAAACATTAAAATGAAGATTCTCCAAACAGTAAGCATGCACATAAATCAATGCTAGCTTTTGTGAACCATATACTTAGAGATTAACATGATGAACTAAATGCTGAAGTGACACTTATGTAGCAGCATTTATTGAAAAAAACACACATGATTCCAAACACTACCTAAAAGAACTTGTTTCAAAAATCAATTTTCAACCAATTTCTCAAAAATCACCAAAATCGACCAACCCAACATAAATTTCAACACAATTTCCCTTCGACCTTCGCAGCCGACGAGTATCTGTAGTTCTGCCGCGTTTGGTGAACCAAACGCGCCCAATTAAATGGACAAAATAGAGGAGATGGTGTTTCACCGCGTTTCTGATCCTTTATTCTTTTTAATATGAAAGCTCCAAGGCATTTCATAACTTAGCTCGATGAAATGTCAAATACAAGAGTATTCATCAATCAACGGTCTCAATATTTTTTCGTCATTTACTAAGATAGCCCTATTATTTCACTCAATTACTAAGACATATATTACAGTTAAAGTATATTGTTACACTGTTTTGCAATCATTTTAAAATTTATTTGTTATTTTCAATTTCTCATAGACAATAGGGGACCGGAGGTGCTTACGGTTTGGTAATCGTGGGCATTTTTTTAAACCAAATTGGTAGTATCGATTTTTTCGAAAATTATTAATCAAAATTAAATCGAAGTCAATTGATTAATAAGTTGATTGGTTTTTTGGTTCTTCTTATTTTCATAATATTATATATAATAAATGTAAATTACTATATTATATTATATTATAAAAACTAGAAATACATATAAATATTATATAATAAAGAATAAATAATATAATATATATTATAAATATATATAATATACTTATATATTTAATATAAATATATGTATACCGGTTTTTTATATTGGTTAACCAAAACTGAATCAATACCTTCATTTTTTTTTTTTGAAAATACCAAACATAACTAAAATTTTCAGTTTGGTTTTTGGGTTTTACGTGATCACCCCTAATAGACAGAAGCGTAAAAGGATACTTTGATCCTAATACTTGTTTAACCAAAATAAATAATCAAAATATCAATTTCAAATAATAAATAATAATAATAATAATAATATATACAATAATAGGAAAATAACAAAATAATAACAAATTAAAATAGAGAGAGTAAAGCAAGATAACAGAAAATAAAAATAAAAAAAAAATAGACAATAAAAAAATATTTTTCTTTTATTGTCATTTCCATTTTCATTTTTACTTTTTTTTGTTTTTACTTAATACTTTTTATTCAGAATAAAATAATGTGGGAAGAGATCTTTCTGGCACAACACAAGGTCAAAACCTAATGGTGTGTTTGCCAACGTATATGATTTTATTTTTGTTTGGACAAAAAAAACATGTTGCTGAAGGCACCTTTGCCAAACCAAAAACATAACACGTGGCATCCTGGGCCAACTAAGACACCACTCGAACACCTACATCTCCTAAAGCCTGCTCTGCTTACCAATCAAATTAACCAGATGAGTGGTTAAAACTATAACTACCCTTCATGGAGAAAATAAGTTGATGTATGCAAAATAAATGGTGTGTGGCACGTAGATTTGTAGTTTGATATGATCTGATGACAATGGTGGAGTCAGAAAATTTTCTTCCGGGGGCAAAGATTAACAAGAAAATAAGATAGGGATTAGGGAGTAGAAGTAGGGAAAATGGACTGAAAACTATTACAGATTTTTTTAAAGCTTCATTTGGAAGGAATATAAATACATACAAAATACATATAAAAGAGTGATCCTTTTTAGGAGATAAAAACCCACCCCATCTGCTAAGAAAGGTCACATGGTGACATGGGTGAGGCCTAAACCTGGAAACTGGTTGTTTGATTTTGGAAAGGAGGCCAACCAGGACAAGCCAACAATCTTTAAGTGACAACTCATTTGGTGTGTTATCATTCTTTTCCATGTACAATGTAGAACTCAAAAAGGCAATAAGAGCAAGAACCATTAGGTCCATTATTGGTCCCGCCTATCATCATCTTCTTCTTCCTCTTTTTCATGGGGCTAGAAAGGGTAGTCCACACGCCGATACCCTCCCAACTCTAGTGGCAACTGAATTTGATCGCACCTCTCCACTATAACTAGTCAAAGACCTTACCAATTGAGCCACCGTTAGGTGGTAGTTGATTCCAGCTATATGAAGTCTTGGACTCTTCCCAGCGGTGGACTGAAAATTAACTTTTAGACCAGATATTTGTTCAATCCCATCCGGTCCAGTATGAATACGGCTGTCAATGCATTGGATATTTGTCCAATCCAGTCCGATCTAGTATGAATCCATTACAGATGAATTAGGTCTAACCCAATCCAATAAATACTTTCAACCATTTTGGACTGGTCCAATTCAATGTCTGAATCGTCCAAACTGTCCAAATTGGTTTTAATTTAGATTGGATCCAACTCAATCTTTGTCCATTGACACCCATACTCTTATCTTATGTCAATGGATGTTAATAGACCAGATATTTGTTCATTTCGACCCAGTTCAATATAAATCCATTATAAATGGACCAGATTCAATCAAATCCAACAAATACCTTAGACCATTACGTCCGGACTGTGTCCAATCTATTCATTCATCCAATCCGTTCAAATTGATTTTGATTCTGAGATGTTCCAACCAAGATCCAGTACATTGACACCCCTACTTTCAAACATGGGAGCCGCTTGATAACAACTGAAATAACTAAATTGAATGATTCATTGCTTTGTTTTTAATGAATAAAATATTTAAGAGTATAATAATCAATTCAATTTTAATTTCAGCCATTAAAGAGCTAACTTTCTTCTAAGTCATTCAATTCAGCCACTTCAGCAGTTATCAAATTGGCTGATAGCTGTGTTACCTGTGTGGCTTAACCGCTCAAGGCATCACCCAAAGAGATATTCCTTTTAAATAACACAAGCTCAAATAAAGGTGGGCCTCTTTAACATGGGCACTGAATCAGCAATGGCCATGCCGGCCCAGCTTTGGTGTTGCCTGCCCATTTGTGGTATTGAGTCTTTACTTCAACTTGCTTAGGCCTAAGGCCCACACCACAAATATAGGATTCGAGTGGATCTCGTTGCCCCCACTTTTATATTGGCCTTATTTTGCTTGTAGGTGGCATCGACTCATCCAACCAAATGATCTTGACCACTTAAGTTTTGTTCTTTGTCCCCACTAGTTTTTGCACCCAACAAAAGAAAATTTTCCATTATAAAACGATTAAATTAATTTCATGGTTGGGTTTGAAATTTGGCATAAAAATGCCAAGTGGATGATCGTCATTTACTGAAAAATTCAGGTATCAAGGGAGATGCACCAATTGCACTATATGGGACTAAGAAGAAACATTAGTAAAAAGTATGGACACGCACGATACCCAAATATTGTGTATCCGTGGCTCAAAGGGGCGATATTTATAGTTTTAAAAAGATTTCAGATTTCAAGATTTGAACCAGGCCATGAAAGTT